TACCTTAGATATGTGGTTATTTAAAGCATTTATGGTTTAAAAATTATTAAATTTACAAAAGAAGAATTAGAATACAATATAGTAATTTTGAAAAAATTATTAATATTTAATGGATATAAACTGTGTCTTAAATTAATATTTTATTAATTTTATTTAATTCTATTTAAAGAGTCGTATAATGTCTTATTGATTATCATTGAAATCCATTTTTATATCAATTAATATAACAAAAAACTAGCGAGTTGTTGAATTTCATTCATTTATTATGAATAAAATTGATATTTTAGACGTTACTATAATACCTCTTTTTATTCTGTGTTTATTTATATAGAGAATAAACCAACTCATAACTTGAACGAAGTATATAATTACATATTTTTATTATAAGAATACCACCTGATTTCAAAGAACATTTAAATATCAACTTTAAGTTTATTCTTAATTATAAAATTCTCTTGTTTTCTTTTCTGATATATTTATTATTCTTATTTTTATAAGCTATATTTATCTATTACATTTCTTGTTTTCATTTTCTATATAATTTGTAGTATCTAAAATATATTCTTTATTATCTGTTTTTATTTATCTTAATTTCTTTTTCCTTTTTTTAAAACACAATTTTCTGCTTTTACAATATTACATCAATATCTATTCATTACACTAACTTAATTACAATTTTTTCAAAATACGACTCTATGTTTTATCTTTTTATCATTTCAAATATATCCAATATCACCAATAATGGATAAAGAATTAATGATATTCTTTTATTAGAATATTAATAAATAAAATAATATTTTACTAAAAGAGTGTTCTTAAAAATAAACCACAATAAAGTATTTTGTTTTTTTTCATTTAATCTGTTTACATAACAACACTATTATGGATTAAAAGAAGTTTAAATAAAATAACGCCGTTTTTATGAATGTTACATTGATAGAACTAAACTTTAGTTGGTGTTAATATAATAAATAAAATAGTAAAGATGCTATAATGATAATGATTTATTCAATTTAAATGAAATGAAATACAATTTTCATTCATGTTTTTATTATTCTTTTATTTTATTATTATATTCTTTTTCATTTAGTAAATAAAATAAAATGAATATAATTTATTCTTTATGTATATTCTTTATTTATATTGATTGTATGTTTATTTGATGTTGTATATTAAAAAGTATTTATAGATCAATAAAAAACTTTCATTTATGCTATTTCATGTTTATGAATTATTTTATTTTGATGTTCATTTGATGTTAATTGATGAAATTATGAAATGTTGATACTTCATTTATTTCACTATTTATTCTTGTTATAAGTTATATGTCAATAATTAATATCATATTTTGATTAAAAATTGAATAATACAAAATACAAAGCGTTTAAAATATGAAATAATTGACAAATAACATTTAAATATAATGTTTTAATAATAATATATGCAATTTTGTTAGTTATTACTTCTCTTACTTTCTTTTTGTTCAATATTTCTTGAAATAAGAAATGTCAAATTCTTTGATAATTATATCAATAAAATTATACATAATAATTTATTGTTATTCAAATATTATTGTTTATTTCATAATCAGAATGATTTAAATTTTGAAATGATGAATGTTGAGATTGTATTTTATTAACTAAATTCATATTTTTATACTGATTTTTAAGTAATTAAATAAATAATAATACATCAATCTATTGAACAAAATGAGAGTGATTTAATAAGGAATATAAATAGTTTGATAAATAAATATAAATGAAGATAGGCAAAATGAAATATTTTATTGTCATTCAAAATAACAGATTAACTAAATATAAAAAAAGATAATACTAACCATAAAAATAATAAAAACAATTATAGTTATTTTCAGATGACATTCTTCTCCTTTTTTATGTTTTATTTCCAATATTTGATATCAATTTAATCAATAATTATTTAAGTTAAACTATTTATTCAATATTGACATGATGAAAATGGTTATTATTTATTATAATAAAAGAATATGTATTTTTAAAGATAATAGTATTAAGTAATTGTTAGTGTATAAATATATTTAATAATATTGATATTATCAAAGAAAATGATAGTCATGTTGTAGTTGGTATTAAATGAAAATAATCATGAAAACAGTGGTGAGGAAATAGTCTTTCATAATAAAATAAAGAAGAGAATGATTGTTTTAATGCTAATTAAATTCAAAATAAAAATCAGATAACAACTTTAATGAAGACGCATTTAAGTTGATGAAGTTAAAAAACATTAAGTCAAAAGAATGAAAAGGATGATAAATAGAAATTCTCATTTCTCAACATAATGAAAGTTTAAAGAATAAACATTCTTAAAAAGCAACAATGTAGTTATTCTCTATTGAATAATGGATAATAGAAAATAAAAGTAATAACACTTAATTAATTACTTTTTATTTAAAAAGTTAAATGTAGGTTGTAAATCGTAAAATTAAAAATAATTCGATAAAGCAAGAAATTTCATACTAAAAAATAAATGAAATAGTTAGTTTAATATAACATAATTAAAATCAGTGATAACAGAAATAAATGATAATAAGATTAACTAAACAAGTTGAGGTGTAAATAAAAACAGATAATTTTATTAATTTTATTGATAATAATGGAAAATGATGAAAAAAAATAAAAATCTATTTTAAATGAAAAATTTTCCTCACATAATTTATTAAGAATCAGATTATAACTTCCAACAAGCATGAAAACTCAACTATTTTTAGAATGTTTTAAAGAAAGTTGAACATACTACTGAAAATCACAAAAATCTTAGAAAGGTAAATAATAAGATGATTTTCATTAATTTGAGGTGAAAATTGAGTGAATTTAAATGCTTAGAAAATAATGATTTTTAAAGAAAAGTACACACAAAAGAACAAAAAAGATATGAAAAACAGGGTTTTTAAAGAGGTTTTAAAGGAACAAAGTATAAACAATGACAGAACAACAAACCACAAAACAAGAAGTAGTTTATGTCACTCCTGACCAGGAAGAAGAAATTGGAATGAAAGAGGAATTAAAACAAATTACAGAACAATATGATACAACCTCATATTATGAATGGGTAAAAGGACCACATTCTGTGTTATGTATGGTAGCATTATTAGGAGTATTAATATATTTATACTATAAAGGGTATATCACTTCACCACCATCAAATTTAGTTCCATGGTTATTTGTATCACTTGTTGTTGTTTGTTGGTGTACTTTCTTCTTACCAGATAGTTATTTTGTACATCCTCATCCAATGTTTTGGAAATTCATTCAAGGTGTTGGATTATGTTATTTGATGTTAATTTGTTTCTTATTATTCCAAAATGTAAATGATGTTAGACAATGGTTAAAAAATATTGATCCAAAACTTGGTGTACCATTACCAGAAAGAGAATATGCCATTGACTGTAGATTATATACACCAGAATTACCATGTAAATGGAATAATTTTAAAAATGTACTTTTTGATGAATTTGTAATATATCATTTTGTTGGATGGTGGGCACGATGTGTTATTTGTCGTGATTGGAAATTAACATGGTTTAATAGTATTTTATTTGAATTTATGGAATTATCTTTCCAACACATTCTTCCAAATTTCCATGAATGTTGGTGGGATCATATTATTTTAGATGTTTTTGGATGTAATGCTCTTGGAATTTGGCTTGGATCAAAAACGCTTCAATACTTTGAATTAAGAGAATATAATTTCAGTGGTGTTTCACCTATGCAAAAGAAAGGAAAAATATTTAGAGTTATTGGACAATTTACACCTACATCATGGACACGTTATCATTGGGGAATGTTCACTCATTGGAAGAGATTTATTTATGTTATTATTCTTATTATCTATTTCCAACTATTTGATTTAAATTCATTCTTCTTAAAAGCAGAATTATGGTTGAAACCATCTCATTATTTAAACCTTATTCGTTTAATTGTTTTAGCTTTACAAGCACCTTTAGTATTTAGACAATGTTATCAATATGTTATAGATAAAAATACTAAAGACATCGGATCTGCTTCTTGGATTCTTGGTCTTACTTTACTTCTTGAAGGTATATTATGTTTCAAGTGGGGTTATCCTGAATATAAATCAATTCCAACTCCTTTCTTAGTAAAATGGGGATGGATTATTACCATTTCTTTTGTAGTAATTTTTGGTATTATTTTCTTTACTTATAAAGAGATTCATTATTCAGTTGTACGTTCTAAAACACCTTCAGTTCCTTTAGAAGAAGATAAAGAAGAAAAAACAAAAACTGATTAATTTTCTTTTTTGGTAAATAGAAAAATTTGTTTCTTTTAATACAAAAAAACATAATAAAAAATAATGTTATATAAAACTAAAAAAAGAGAAAAGAAAAAAGAAATAGTAAAAGGGCAAAAAAAAAAAAAATAAGTGTTTTAAACCTAAAAGGTTTTAAAGCAAAGGAAGGAACTTTCAAAATTGATTCAACCACAGCAGAAATGGGAGGAGTCAGAACTAAAACTGTTAAGAGAGCTGCAAGAAATATTATTGAAAAGTACTATCCACTTTTAACTCTTGATTTCCATACTAATAAACATGTTGTTGATGAAGTTGCTGTTGTTGAAACTAAACGATTAAGAAATAAAATCGCTGGTTTCATTACTCATTTAATGAGAAGAATCCAAAAAGGTCCAGTTAGAGGAATTTCTTTCAAACTTCAAGAAGAAGAAAGAGAAAGAAGAGATAATTATGTTCCAGAAAAATCTGAAGTTAATATTGATAAAATTACTGCTGATCCAGTTACTCTCAAAATGCTTGAATCAATTGGAATGCCAATTAATAAAAAGAACTAAAGAGAAAAAAGAAAAGTATATTTAAAATTTAACACATTTCTTTTTTGAGGGTAAGTAGTAACAATTTTATTTATTTATTTCCTTTTTTAATGAATTAATATGTCATTATATTAAATAAAACAGAGAGTTAATTAAATTAAAAAGAAATCTTAATAACAGTTAAAATACATCAGGCCTAGGAAGTACTTCATCAGATGATGAACTTAAATCATGTTGTTTTCCTATTAAGTCTAAGGTTTCTTGTAATAAATTAGTATCCATTGTTTGTTGAGCATTTAGAGCTTTTTCAATCATTTTTGGTCTGATACGTTCTTCTGCTTTAAATTTTGCTTTTATTTGTTTTCGAGTACGACCATCAAACATTAATTCTATTAATCCAAAGTCTGCACCATATTTCATTATGCCAGTATATAATTTTAATATTTCTTCTTTATCCCATTTTTTACTTTTTTTTGGTTTTAATAAATTACTCCTTTTACTTGAGTTATGTTCTGTTCCATTTTCTTCACCACTTTTTTCGTTTGATATTTCACCAATACATTCTTCATCTAAATATCGATTAAATGGTTGTTTGAGTTCTTTTAATTTTTTGATAGAGCTTTGTTTTTTATGACTTAATTTACAGATCTGTCTCATAGATAATGTACTTAAATCAATAGATGAATCTTTATCATTTTTAGTTTTTGAGCTATTTTGTTGTTCAGTCATTTTTGAATTTTTTAGTCTTTTTTTTTGAGTGCTTTCTTAAATAAACCCTGTATTTTTTTCTTTTTCTTTTTCTGTTTTCATTTTTTTATTTTTTATTGTTGATTTTTTTTTATTCGCTTCGTTCTTTTAACTTCCCTTTTTTTGTAATACAAAACATAATAATAAAATATGTCAAAAAAAAAATGACTGAAATTTATAAATAATAAGAGCATGATATGATCTATTGAAAGAATTTCATATATTTAAAAAATTATGAAATAATTCACATTTTAGATTGATTTAAATTAAAGTTAAAAAGAAAGAATGTAATTACATTAACGAACAACAACCAGCATTACTACTTTTGTCCCAAGGATTTGTGTCTTTAAATTCAGGTGAGAATGGGTCAATTTTATTCTTTGTAAAATTAACTAATTCAGAACATGCTTCACTTACTTTCATTAGATTCTTAGAACGTTCAAAGTTTTTCATTAAACGTTCTTTTTCTTGTAATAATCGAATAAGTTGTTGTTGGGACATGTTAATTATTTTTTTCTAAGTTCTTTTCTTTATCTTTTGATAAAGAAAATAGATTTCTTCGACAGTCATTCTTTTAAGTCGGCGTTCTTTTTTATTTTTATATCAAAGTATTTTTCTTTTTTATATTTCACTATTTTTAGATTATGAAAGTTAATTTAAAAACTACTTTTATAAAAATAGAATTGGAAAAACTTAAATGGATTGAATGAACTTTCAAAAAAAAAAATAAAAAAAAAATAAAAAATAAAAACTAGAAAAAAAATAATAAAAAACAAAAAAGAAATGGAAGAGTATAGCAAGTATTATCTTAATCAAATGATGACACACCCAAAAGATAGAGAACGAGAATTTTTTGACCACCTTCATCAGTTGAGTATAAAACCAAGTGAAGAGGTTTTAATTAATTTTTATCATTTTCTTAAGAGATATTTAAAAGTTATATCACCTCTTATTGTTTCGTCGTATGTTATAGATTTTTTAATTACTTTCTTAGTTGATTATCAAAGATATGTGTTAAAAATATTTATGCTATTTTCTTCTCAACGAAGTGCATGTTCACGAATGTTATACCTTCGATTACCAACATTACTTTTACAAACACCTTCAACAAAATCACTTAATTTATTAAATAAATTATTGTCATCATCTTCTTCTTTCGAAATCTTTACTAATCCTTCTTTATCAAAAACAAAATTTGTTAATGACCTAATGATATTATGTCCATCTTATCTTTATCCTCAGCCAATGTCTTCTGACAAAATACTTCAATCAAGTTATCATGCATGGAGATATATAGCACTTACTGGGAATGCATCTTTAATTCCAGCTATTGATACGTTTCCCACTGATACTGCTTTTGTAAATGAACAAGTGTTAATTAAACAATTATATGAAGTTACTCAAACAGGAAAAACCGAACCAATTGATAATGTTATTCATGTATTATATTCTCCTGATGGGATTATTTTATTAAGAGATAGACAACTCATTCAAACAATAAGATTTATTTTTGATAAATATCCAACACATGAAATTATTACACAAAAATGTATTGAAGCTTTAGAACTTGCTGCTGTTGATTATCATTGTTTAATATCAATGTTTAATGAAAATTTCTTAACTAAATTTGAACATTATCTTCAATTATTTTCAAACAATGAAATAATTATATCAAAAATACTTAATATTCTTTGTTATATGTGTAGTACTGATGCATTAGTTTCTTTTGTAAATCAATCAAAATTATTATCTACTCTTTTTCCACAAGACCAAGAGAAAAAATTACAATTTCCATCATCATTATTAATTAAAAGAAAATTAGTTCTTATTGCCTTTCAATGTCTTCAATCTAAAGTAATTAAACCAGAATGTATTATTCCAATTATTGATTTAACAGATACAGAATTATATGATTTAACTATTCCATTAAGTTCATTATTGACAATTAATAATTGTAATATTCTTCTTGAGAAAACAAAAGAAATTATAAAAGATATTTTAATACAAGGATCTGAAAGTACTGTGTTAATAGAAAGTTCATTATATTTTTTAGTTAAAACACAAATTGATAGTTCATTTATTCCAAAAGAAAAATTGGTTCAATACCAAAATTCAATGGACTTTAATATTCATTCATTATCTAATCAAATTATTAATTCAAAGTATAACAATAATAATGTTTTATCATTATTATCTATTCCAATTGCAATTGATTCATCAAATATTTTTCAATTCTTAACATTATATTCTTGTCTTTCAAATATTCTTATTACTGGAATTTCACCACCTCATCTTGATGAAGTATTTTCTTCTATTATTCAACATTTTCCAATGACCATTTTTTCTTCAACTAAAATTTCACTTGCAGAAAAGTATATTGCTGCAAGTGATTTAATTACTTTTATTCTTAATATTCAAAAGAATTATTCTATCTCTGAACAATTAACAGAACTTTGTTTTAATACATTACTTTCATTAATTAAATCAAATTCAAATTTTAGGGAACTATGGTTTGAACATTCTGGATACATTTATTTATTAAAACAACTACCAAGATATTCAACATTAAAACTACTTCATAAAATATTAAAATCAAAAGAAATTTGTTTTAAATTACTTAGTCAAAGTAATAATAATGATCAATTATTAGAAGATCGTTTTCTTGAATATTTAAATGATTATACAAATTTAAATGATTATACAATAGATATAGCTTCTTTAGTTAAGTGTATAGAAAATATTATGGACGATATTCCTCATTCTAAATTAAATACTTTAGCTTCTTCAATAGTAAAAAGAACAGAAGAATTGATTGATTCTGGGAATAACGATATTTCAATATATATGTCTATCTTTCAATTTATTAAGAAGGCTATTGATTGTTCTTCTTTAGTTTGTGATAAGGATTTTATTAATAAAATTATTCAAATGCTCTTTTCATGTAAAAGTACTAAATTAAAAAAAATATTAATTGATGTTTGTGCTTCAATTTATAATACTAATCCAACATATATAAGACATTTATTAGACAAAAAGAAATTATTGGAATTAATTACAGAAGAAGATAATGATCAAGAGCTTTATTGTGCAGCTACAAGATGCCTTGCTATTATGTCAAAACCTGAAAGAATTGTAAAATCAAAAATTGAAATTACAAGTGAAGTGAATAAAGTAATTATTCAAGAAAATAATAGACAAGTATCATTTACTGATTTAATTAATCCCACAATATTAATGGTTCCTGTTGGTAGTATTAATGATTTTGTTTTTGTTAAAACTGTAGAAAATATTCAAGGCTATGAAAGAGAATTTAAAAAGAAATTTGACCTTCCTGATATGTTATCTTCATATAAATTTATAAAGACAACATGGGATTTATTTGTTAACGACATAAATAAAGTTATTTATGCTCAAATGATTTATGGAGTTATAGACTGTTCAACATTAAGTGATAAAGATGTTATTAATTCAATTACCATGTTTCATGAATGTGTAACATTAAATTGGGAAGAAAGTATTGGACATTTAGCATTGTTATTAAATTTACCACAATCATCAGAATTATTTAAAATGAAATTAAATAATGAAATTAAGTCATTGTTATTTGTTGTAGATACTTTAAATCCAACTTCAATTAATTCAATTCTTGTTCACACAGAAAGTACAATAAATACATGGTGTGATAATAACAAACCACTTCATCCTCATTTCAATCCAATCTTTTCTAAAAAGATTCCACCTCTTTCATATCTTTCATGTGCACAAGCTAATTTATATAAAAAGAATTGGGATAATGCTTATCAAATGTTTCTTGACTCAATAAAAGCATATAAAGTACAACCATTATTTAACGGTAAATTTTTTACTAAAAGTGTTATTGGATTTGTTGCATCAATCATGTTAGATCCTATTAAAAGAAATCTTCAACAATATACTAAAGAATATGAAGATGCTATTAAAGAGGCAATTAAGTTTATAGATAATTTGGATTCAGGTCATTATTACTGTAAAGAATTATTATTTTATCAAGCTCAATATTATCTTAAACAAAAGGTATATCAAAAAGCACAACAAATTATTGAAGAAATTGATTCTAAACACCATGAAAAAATTAGTAAAACAGAAGATATTATTTCTGCTTTAATGTTTGACTCATTATTAAAACAACTTAAAATGAATCATCACAGACAATATATTTTATACTCAATTACAGCTTACAAAAGCCAAATTAAATCATTTGACATTTATTGTGTTGATGAATTAGCAGAGTTACTTGGAGTTAATGATTTAGAAAAATTAGATTTAGAATATGAAGAACAAACACAACGCCCACATCTTATTATGGAAAAGAAAGTACAATGGTCAACATTAAGAGCTTATGTAATTATGAAAAAAGTTATGTTAAGAGATATTTATGATGAAACTATGGCTAAATTATTATTAAGATTATTAGCATATTTCCATGAACATGTAAGTGAAACTGATCAAATAGAAAGTATTAACAGACTGGATTTAATTTGTAAAGCTATTGGAAGTCCTGTTTATATTTCTTCAAACCTTCCATCAATTCCTGTTATTGAAAGTATTAGTTTAAGTACTGTTAGCGATAATGAAAAAATAAGAAGTAGAAAAGTTGAAAAGTCAATATTTATTTATGACCCATCAATGCCAAAGAAAGTTCCAATTGTTTGGAGTTCAAATGAAACTTCATTTATTAAAATTAAAATGAGTAATCCTTTATATCCAATGTTAAATGTTGATAATATAACACCATGGTGTGAAGGAGTTGAAATAGAAACACATTTTAAATGTGTTGATATTATGTCTACTTCATCTATTACATTTGAGTATGCAATTACTCCTAAAACATCAGGGCTATTAAAAATTTATGGTTTAGAATTTGACTGTTGTTCATTACATTTTAAATCAGTTCCAATTGGATTTAGATGTAAAAAAGAATTAACTCCATGTTGTGTTGTTCCTGTTGTACATAGTGTACCACGATTAAAAAGTGCTCCTGGAACATTTTTATCAAAAGCAATTTCATTATTCCCTGGTCAAACAAATGAAAGTAAATTAGAATTAATTAATGATGGAGATTTAGCAGTAAATTGGATTAATTTTAAGGTTAAAGATGATGACTCAACTCATTTAACTGAAATTACTGTCTCTAAACCATTACAAGACATTCTTCCTATATTACCAAATCAACGTGTTGAAGTTCCTTTAGCTATTTCTGCACGTGGAGAATTATCAAATATTAATATTGAAATTAGTTATGCATCTTCTTCAAATGCTCGGTTTGGAAGAACATTTTCTATTCCGATTAATGTCATTGTTAGTGTTGGCTTACTTATTGATAAATGGGAAATTATTCCAATAGAAGAAATGTTATTAGTATCTTGTGTTGTGTATAACCCATCTGCTTTTTCTTTTACTGTTAAAATGATGCCAAACCCTCAATGGAATGTTGATGATTTCTTTGTTCAAGAACGTCGTGAAACCTTTTCTGAATCACAGAGTAGAAGACGGCTATTAGTTGCTGTAAAAAAACCATCTTATACTTTAACACCTAAAAATGCTGCTAAATGGATAAACGAAGTTATCTCTATTAGATGGATTTCATCTTCAGGGTGTGATGGAACAATATCTATAGCGGAATCAGAAACTGTAGCTGTTAATACTTCAAATTAACTGACGTTTTTTGCCTTCATTTCATATTATTTTAAAAGAAAAAAAAAATAAGAGTTAAACGTTAAAAGTTTTTTATCACTTGTAATGATTTTATGTAGATCTTTATGATGGTTCTATCATTTTTGTTCTTATTATTATTATCTCCAGTTTTAATAATTTCTTCAAAAGATTTTTCATTATCAAAACTTAATATATTTTCTGGTAGTGTCTCACTTTCTAATTAGAAGCACATTAACTTTTAACAAAGAATTATTCATAAGTTAAATATTTATAATTACTTTTTCTATTCTACTCTAATTACATTAACATTTCCTTCACTTTTTTTATTGAATAATAAGGAAATTGAATCATTCAATAATTATTTTAACTTCAAAAAAAAACATAAATGTCTTGAACAATAAAGCTATGAATAGTGATAATCAATATTATTGTTTATTCTTTTTCATGACAAAAAAATTTAATGTTTTGTAAATAAAAATTGACTAAATTAAAGAAAAAAATAATAATAATTGGAAAAATATGAAATGAAAGAAATAAAAATCAAAAAAAATTGAAATTGAATTGAAATTATTGATTTAGGTTTAGAAAAAATAGAAATTTCAATTAAAATTCAATTTTTTTTTGAATCAACTGCTCAATTTTCTCAATTAACAATTCAATTGTCCTATTTTTATGAATTTAAGTATCAGAATAGAAGATGATGGAATAATAAAAAGTTGAAATTGGATTGAAATTCCTATTTTTAATAAGGAAATAACTATCTAAGTTAATAAAAAATTATCAAAAAAATTCTAATCGAACGATAAGGGTTGAAAAGTTGTATTTAAAGATTTGACCCATCAACAAAATTCATTCATTCACTCAAATATAAAATGAAATACCTCGTCCAATGCCATATTCATATGTATGAAGATCGTGAACTTTTTGCTAAAATTCTTGCAATGCAAAATAAATCAAGAAAAGAAGAAGGATGTATTAGCTATCTTGTCTGTCAAGAACCAACAAATACTTCTCATTATTTAGTCCTTCAAAGATGGGAAAATAAAGATTATTTTGAAAAACATTTAAATTCAAGCCATTATAAGAAATTTGTTGAATATATTCATTCAGTTACAAATAAACCAATTTCTTATGATTATTTTGATATTAATTAATTATTGTTTATTTATTTTTTGTTATTTTGTTTTTTGGAAAGATTTATAAAAAATTTTTTTGTTATTAATTTATAAAAAAAGAAATATAGACATCATTAATTTTTTAGAAAAAGAAATAATCTGTAAAATAAATAAGTAAGATCCCCAAATGACCCAACAAGAGTATTACCAAAAAATAATTCAATTTATGGAAGAGTATAAACAAAAAGAAATAGAATACAATCGATGGGAAAAAAGTTATAAAGAATTTCAGGAATACTTAGATAATAAAAGCAATGAAAAAAAGCAATTAGAACAAAGACTAAAAGAACTTAAGGAACTATATAATATATTAACTATACCAAAAATCCCAATTCGGGATGATATTAAAATGGAAAAAGCATTAACCCCTTTCAGTAGTCTCCTTCATAAATGGTATGATATTGATCTTGATGATTATGAACTTTTATTTCCAAAGCAAGACGAGACAATAGAAACTAGTATTATTAACTTGGACCATGTTATGATTTGTATTGTGACAACAGAAAATAAGATTATTGGTATTTATCTTGAGTCTGAATTTACAAGTGAAGAAGAAATGAATGTATCGCTGTTCAATCTCACAACAACAAGTTCATTTCCTTCTAACTCCACTTTCAAAGCAAAGGTAATAAGTCAGGGTAATTCACTTACTATTCAGAATGAACTTGAAATCAAAGGTAAGGAATTGAAGTTATTCACTCGAAGAAATGGAATTAATGATACAAATACTATAGAAGCTATATCCATTCTTCGTTTCTCTTAATTTACTGATTATTTTTGTGATTATGTTCTTCTTTTAAACCCTTTGTTCAGATAAACCAGTTGGTTCGTGTTAATATTCATAATTCTTGAATCCAATACGTTCATTTAACTAAAAACTTCATTCTAATCTCTCTTATCCTTTTGTTTATCGGTTTCCTTGTGCATTATTATGAATGCATACAAATGTGGTTATTTGTTGAGACTTATTCTATATGAAAACAATCATAACTTAATTCTTATTATCTCATAACTGACTCTAGACATCAAAAAGATTGTCAGAACAATCAACGAAATGTTTTTATTTTATTTTGAAAAGATATTTAATGGTTTTGAGTTGTTTAATAACATAACTTTTTAAACGGTTCTTTGTATTTAAATACTTTTAATTGAAAAGACATACTAACAATAATAGGAAACTCTAAATTAATTTTATTTGCAATAAATTGCTTTAAACAATTATAATATAGAGGTATAAATGAATGTTGTTTAATGTGTTATAAAAACAAATTATTGATTTTCTCTTGTTATTTTATATTAAATTAGTATTTCTATCTTTAATTATCAATCAATTAATTCATTTTAAACTCAGTTCATTATTTTTGTTCTTTTGACTTAGCTAATCTTTCTTTAAATTTATTTACTTTCTTTGTTTGACGTCGTTCAAGCATTTCATTCTTCATAACAATTCTTCTGTCTTTACCACTTAAAACTGCCATCTTTCTTTTCTTTTCTTGTTCTGCTTTCTTAGCTTCTTTACTGACAGAAGGTGCTTTTGCCTTTCCTTTCTTCTCTTCTCCCATTTCTTCTACTAACCCATCAACAAAATCACTTTCAAGATCCTTTACTTGTATTTTCTTGCTTTCTTCTTCTTTCTTTTGTTCTTCTTCATAATCATATTTAGTGTTATTCTTGATAGCATCTAATTGTTTTCTACGTTCTGTAACATATCCTTCTTCTTCTTCATTAACATAAGGAGATAAGTGTGGTGGTAATTTTTGACCAATAGTATATTCTCCACATGGAAGAATAAAATTCTCATTAACACAATCAAAAATCCATTGGGGTTGAATAAATTCTCGTTCAATATTTTTATGTTCTCCTCGTTCTCCTATTTGATGAGTAATACTTTCATCATCAACATTATCCACTATAATTCCTCCTAATGTCTCAATAACAAATGCAACGGGATGTCTTGGTACTTCTCTTTGAATGTAAAAAACCATTCCTGAAAATAATCCACTTCCACTGCTCTGTACAAAATGACTTGTAACTTGAACAGATGCACCAGTGTCATGATTAACCAACATTTCAGTTGCAAGATTTTCTCCTTCTCCTTTTACTTGTTTCAATGCTTCATTTAATTCTTGAACATCTTGATCTTTACTAATAACTTCTGTTTCTTTTTGTAATTGAAGTGGTTCTAATTGAACTGTTCCAAGAAATTCTACTCCATTTATTTTAGTAATTTCTGGTGGATAATTAAGACCTGCATTTGTATATAATTTATAATTAATAAATTTCATTAAAACAACATAAAATGATAAAAATTCATGAAGAACATTAAAGTCAACAGTTTCATTCTTTTCAATAGCAAATTGATGTGGTACCATCCATGTTATAGCAATTCCATATACTACAGCAGTATAAAAATACCCTTTATAACTAATAAAACATTTTCTAAGTGCATTTGTATGTTTAATATATGCTTCCCATTCCATTGCAATTCTTCTTGCTAATCTTACTGCTTCAGCTTTTTCTCCTTTTGAAACTCTATATGATGCAAACATAAATACCATTGACAAACAATCTCCAAGTTCATTTAATGCATCTTGGAATGTTGGATATCGTTCTTGAATAGTTGATGCTAAATCAATAACTGGTTTAGTTTTAAGTAATTGTTCTTTAGTTTTAAATTCTTTTCGAGCTGTTAATTTTCTAATATGTTTTTTAAATGCACGAATTTGTTTAATTTTAAGTGTTACTTTATCATTAACTAATGGCTTAATATCATCAATGTGGTAATACGTTTTCTTTTGTGTTAATGTATTTAGTCCTTTACTAGGTAATCTTGGTGATACTCCCTTTAAAATACAAATCTTTCTGAACTGTTCCATTGTGCAATTCAATCGTTTAATGGCTTGTGTTCTTGTAATGTATTTTGATATTTTTGGTGCTTTCTCCTTTTTACCAGCAAATCTCTTTGATTGATGTTTACCGTGTCCTTTAACCATTTGATAAAATGTACGTTTCTTTTTTTTTTTCTCTTAGGGTTTATTTTTTTAATTGTTCTTTTTATATAATTGATGTTTTATATAACGCTTTTTAATTATTTTTCTTCTCTTCTTAACTAACATTATTTAATTATTCATTTCATTCCTCTTCACATTATAGTCTTTTCTTTTTCTGGGTCAGTGCAATAACTACATGAACAACTAGTTTTTAAATACAATAGAAAAAAGTAATAAAGAAACTAAAATGTCTACTCTTATGAAGAAGCAAATTGACTTTTAAATAAATGTTTGTGGTTATAACCAAAATGATTTAGAAGTGTTTTGTATTATAAAAAAGAATAAATTCATAAAATTCAATGAAATTGTCAATAAGAGTAATAAGACAAATTATTTAGAAATATTACAACCAGAATAAATTAGTTAAACTATGCAATACAATTATATTTTGCTAATTATAATAACAATGAATATTTAAAAAGCAAATAATTAAAATAACTTAATAAATAACACGATTTTTGAAAGTTTAATTAAGAGAAGAGAAAGAAAAAAGTAATTAACAATGAAATGAAGAATATTTATTAAGGTTTATAGACTTAATAATTTTTGTTTTACATTTATAATAAAAAAATATGATGACAAATCTTTAAATCAATATCAATAAAATTGTTTTCAAAGATAAAAAAACAAAGCAAATCAAGAATTTCAATTATTTCTTCTTGTCTGAAATCTTCTTGCTATAGAAGTCAAGTTCTTTACCTTCAAGGATATATCCTTCAACTGATCCAGTTTGTCCTGGTCTGGAAGAAATACATGCAAGAACTCTTCCACTTTGGAATCCTTCTAATAAGGCTTCATCAAATTTCATATTCTTTAATACTTCTAATTTCTTTGCATATTTCTTTTGCATAGTTTTACTTGGATTCATAAGTGCTACTTGTGTTTCTGCAATTTGTTGTGCAATAGTCTTTTCTTTATTTTCTTCTTCCTTTGGAAGAACAACTTTCTTTTCAGTTTTGAATGTAGCTGATTCGAGTGATTTATAATAATCAGTTGATGCAATATCTTTTCCATAGAATTTAAGGAACCATAATCTGAATGGTGCTGGATCAATTTCAATAATAGCACCTTTAACTAATGTATTAGTTCTAACAAAATCATTATCAGAGGCATTATAAACGACATTAAGAATCTTAGTACCTTTAGTGATAGATTGGGATGCCCATGAGAAGTTTCCATTTTCTAATCTTAATGCTCTTCTTTTAATAATTCCATATCTGCATCTAACATCATGAACTCTAATAGCTCCAAGTCTGGTATTAGCTGGTTGTCTTCCCATAGTGTTCTTCTTCTTTTTTTGCATACTGTTCTTCTTTCCTCCAGTAGCTCTTCTTTTATGTCTGGAATCTCTTGTAATTCCCATTGTGAAATCCCAATTACTTCTTTTCTTAGTTCTTTTTCTTTTCTCAGGGTTTTTTAATAGGTTTTCTTTTTGTTTATTATTCTTTTAATTTCTTTCTGAATATTTTCTTTCTTAATAAACTATTTTATTATTTCTTTATTATTAACTTATGTTTTATGAAATAACATTTTTTTTTATCTTATTTGTTTTATTTTTTTTACCCTAAAAAGGTTTTAATTATTTGAATATTGAAATTAATGAAAATGAAATGAACAAATTTAAATTGGTTTATTCATTCAGATGATCACTCCATATTTTTCATTAACTCAAAACAATGATTATGTTATAGTTCATATTAAAATACCCCCGTATCAACAATTTGGTGTTGAAGATATTCAAATTGATAATAACACAATGATATATCATTCAGAACCATACTTTTTATCACTTACATTTAAAAATGATATTGCTAAAGATGGAACAGAAAAAGCTGAGATTGATCGTCTTGAATGTAAATTACATGTTTATTTACCGAAAGAAAATAAAGGAGAAGTATTTCCTGATCTTGATATGTTACCATTGTTTCTTACTAAGAAAAAAATTTTGTCTCGAGTTCAAGTACTTAACACTTCTCCTTGTCCTGAAGAAGAAAAAACTGAACATGAAGTTATAAAAGAAATTACTCCTGAAGAACAAGAGTTAATTGATAAAGTGCAACGACTTGAAAAATTACGACAAGAAAATGAAATAAAAAAAAATCCTAATGAAAAAACAAGAAAAGAAGAAAGATTAGATTTTATTTCACGTGATGATTTAATTCTTGGAGAAGACCAACAGATAAGAGATGAAACCGAAGATATAGTTAATATCTTTGCACCAAAATATGGTTTTAATGGAAGTCATTCTGAATTTTTTAAAGATTTACAACAAAATTCATTTGAAATAGTTATGTTAAGAAATCCAGATCAAACAGATAGTAAAGGAAGAAGAAAACAACGTATTGATGATGAACTTAATAGTTTTGATAAAGATCGATATATTTGTGATACATTTGAATGGGATAATGAAGAGGAAGTGTTAAAGAATAATTCATTTTGGTGGAAAGAAGATGGAGATTGGACAGATGAAGAAAGAAATGAATTTGGAGCATTAGATAAAATAGAAGTTCTTGTTAATAATGAAGAGGTAATACAAATATATAAAGATTTATTTGGCATTGTTTATGGGTATTTATATGATCAAATAGTTATGGGAGAAAGTACAGTAGAATCAGGATGGACTATTGCTACACTGTCTCCAGTAATGTCATATTTTGATAGAATAGACGATATAGTTGATTTAATAGAAACTTGTATTCGAAGAAGTTTAATT